CCCCAAAACCCCAAAACCCCTGAAGATCAATTTACAAATTTCTAGTTTGTTTGTATAGTTTTAAATTAAAATTTGAAATTTGTATATTTTAATGAGCGATACTTAAAATCACTTTAACAATAGCTAAAGTATTTCCAAGATCAACCTAGATCACTCCAACAGCATAGCAAGTGCAGAGAGTTCAATGATCAAATCGTGGATTTCGCTTAAAGATATCAAGAAAATGGTAAATCCTTCAAAAACCAATCATCAGGATGCTATTAAAAACCTCTCCAATAATATAAAAACTAACAATAGTCGTGATCTGCCACTGTAGATAAATTCTAAAAGAAATCTGAATTTATAAATGCAATCTTAAAAACAAAGCAGTGGGAAAAAGGAAGCTAGTAACTCTAATAAGAAAACAAAGCTTCCATTTTCAAATACTGGTAGAAGCGATATCACGAATAAGGAAAATAAGAGTGAGAAGAAGGACAAAAATATTGAGGGAGGAGCATCAACTAGAAAGTAGAATTTGTTTAGGAATACTAGCTTTGTCAAGAGTTTTAAAAATAGTGAGAAAGTCAATTCATCGATTAATTTTAAACTTAAACAACTAGAAATAGATATCTCTGATTAGAATCAACTGATAGCCAATGACTCAATGTTAATTGAAGATAACAATGCATTAATCAATCAAAGTAATTAATTGAACTGTTTGCTTGATACTTATGATAAAGACCTAGAGATCTTCTAGGAGCATGTTGAGAAGGTCAAATAACACCTAGGAGTTAGTACCTACACCGGTTAAAGCTCAACTCAATCTAGATAGCAGTTAAGCTCTAAGTCTTTGAATAGACCAAGAGCGCTACAAGAGAACCTTAGCCTATATCATCAACTTTCAAGCAATCTACCCTACTCTAGACCAACAACTACTACTGGAGAAACATAGATGTCGAATATTCAAACAACCAATGAAGCTGTTAATTCTCCAAAAATCCTCATTGGTATTGAATCTTAAAAAACTTCTAAATGAAATTCTGATATAAGAAATATCTATATGAATAAAAAGATTCCACCTAGCTTGAGCTAGTGCTAGAGCTAGTTAGCTTTTGATTCAACTATATAGACTGAGAGAAGAGGGGAATCAAAGCAAATATTCAAATTATAAAATGAACTACAACTATTAAACGAGTTATATTATGAAGAGAAATAGAAAAATGAGGAATTAGTGGCAAGGTTAAAAGTTCAAGAATTCTAGATAGAAGATCTTCAAATAGAAAAACAAGATATAATTGGAAGACTATAACTTGTTGAGAATGAGCTTGATGCTTAGAAAGAGATTAGTATGGATATGAAAGAACAGTATGAAGAAATGATAAATGAGCTTAAGAGTCAAATAAGATCACTCCAGATCATCAAGAAAAAAGAGAATACAGAAAACTTTAACTAGCAAAATCTGATATTTTCAGGTATATCACTGGATAAAGTAGAGTCTGTACTTGAATCTGCTGATTTCAATAAAAATTCAGATTAGACAGTCTAAGAAATGGGTAATTAAAATGTGTCTAAAGCACATGGCAATAAACACATGGATATTCTTAAAACATTAGTTAAGAATGTAAGTTATCAAAACAAATCAAATAGCTTCATAATAGCCAATAATAAGAATAATCTTGAGACAAACATGCACCCAGGAAGGAAGGGAATAAAGGATTCAATGATTGATTAATCATCTGTTAATGCTTCAAATCCCTTGATAACATCAGACTGCTATTAAAACTCAGATATCTCAGCTTCACTATCTCAGTACGAAAATTAAAATACTAAATTCTTGAAGCATGTCAATAAGTCTAAGATTGGTAGTTTCAATTAAAATGCTAGTGTTTTAGGCTAGCAATAGAAACCTAACTCGAAATCTTTTAAGCTAAATAAAATGATGAATCATAGTTCTTTAGTTGAGGGAGACGACTCTTAAATTTGTGAAGAAGCAGATGTTAATGTGCAGTAGATTAAGACAAGTCATTTTAATATCAAGAAAGTTGAGGAGCATTTGAAGGGGGAAAACTATTTAAATGAAACTGGAAATGATCAAAAAAGTCCTATTGAAGACTAAATAAATTCTATCATTCATCAAATAGAGTAAGATTATTCATGATTAAGAAGTAACACCTCTATTAGTGGCTATTTATTGACTCAATCAGAGCAGAAATAAGTGAGCTCAAGATTTTGTGGAGGAGAAGATTCACAGAACTACAACTATGGTCAATATAACCTAGCAACATTCGGAGGCCAGCAGATGGTTGCCTAGAGTTTAACAGGAACGTAATAGTTATCAATGATTTGGAATAATCTGAAGGATGAGGATAGAGAGTTCTACTCAAAAAGACTTTCAGTATATTAAGATGAGAATATTAATGACGAGGAGGACATAACCAACATGGATGAGGAACAACTACAGCAGTGGATGTAGTAAAAAGAATTCGAAAGGTAGCAGCAAATGCTGTATTAGATAGAAATTTCCCTCTCAAAGTTTAGAGATAATTTCAAGCAGTGAGATAAAAAAGAGATTCAAAAATATATAAGATGAGAGGTCCTAATCAGAGACTCTCCTTCACTTATAAGAAATTAAGCAGAAGCATTATAAGTTAATATTTGCATATAAATAATCTAACTACACGGAATTTTATCTTAAAATTATAAACACTCACAATTAAATTTATCATTATAACTGTACACACCTGTTGATTGATGCTACTCTTGCAATACTTCAATTTTTACTATTTCTAAACTGAGAGGGTCTCAAAGCCTAGAATATTTTGCTTTTCATACTTAAAGTCCTAATGAACTTGAGTGATAAAATAATATCACTTTCGTCTTTCTTAAGTTTTGTAAATACCAATAATCTTCCAAAATGTCGTTTCATCAATTTATACTTAGCATACTACTCAGCCATAATAGCTTTATTTGGAAGTAGTGCACTTATATTGTCATATTATCTTGAAGTCTCAGTAGGCCTACCAAAGGTATAGATAGAATCCTAGTCATGAATCAAGCTCTTAGAATCCATAAATGAAAAAGACTTCTCTATAATTATTGAATTATCTACATTTTGTGATTTTAATGGAGATTTATCTCTTCCTCTCTATGATAATTAAGTAGTCTTAAGATTCATTATTGGCTGCTGATTGCTGTTTTATGATTGGACTAGTTTGTTCTTAGATTTTTTTAGTTTCAAAGCTTTTTGTCTCCTTGAATTCTTAGAGTACTTAAATAGTATTTTCAAAGCTTTCCTCATAAGTATTTCTTCGTGTTTTTATTCTTTTTTAATGATTTTTACATACTAACGCCAGACAATTATGATTTGCTTTTACTTTAATCTTAATACTTTATTCAGTTTAAATACTTTTAGCCAGAACCTGAAAAACTTATCTCTCAATTTTGTCTAGAGCCTTGTCTTAATTGTTGATTTACTTCTTTATTATGCCACATTACTCTTGATTTTATTGAAACATTTTAAAACAACTTTTCTATCCCTATAAAAGTCAAGTTCGTGCATTCTTGCTTCTAATCTTCCTTATTAATAAATATATCTCCAATATGAAAAGAATTTCTGTTACCTCCTCATTAGTGTTACATAGCAAGCTTTCTTAATCTTTGATTACCTAAACATAGGCAATTACTTTATTGTACTAGCTAAAGTTAAAACTTACTTTTTTAGCAATCTGAAGACTTAAAACTTGGTATTTCCATCTTTGTAATCAATTAAAGAAGAATAAATTGATCTGAGCAACTTTTACTTAGCCACATGCTTATTCCATTGCTGAATATACTTAAACTGAACTCTGAGATCTCTATTATCAATGAATCCCATAATGTTTTCTATTCTTTAATGCTGCCTATGCAATATTAGTCTCCATCCTCTTAGCATTCTTCTGACTTTGTTTTTCATTAGAATTTCTTCTAACTAGAATATCCTCTCTTCCTCAATAACTTAGGCAACTATTTTGATCTGATTAAATCCATCTTTAGATAGTTTTTATTCTATTATATTTTCAAGAGCATCAACTCCTTTAGTGATATTCTGCTTTTAGATCTCTCTAGCATGAGCTCTATATTGCTTAGCATTATCATTTACAAATTAGTCCCTCTTGTTCTTTAGAACGCTATCATAGTATTAATGATTACTCTGCTATTTCAGCAACTAAGCGGTCTCCTAACGCACTGCTTTCACGGTATCTTTAAGTGAAGAAGTGAAATAACCAAAAGAGGTAGTATTTTACTGTTTTTAAGTTACACTGCTATAATTATTTAAGGAACTCATATCATTGTTTGATTTTTTAAATTATGATTATCCAAAAGTTTTGCTGATGCTTGAGATATTATTATGTTTAAGCTGACTTTTTGCTGTAATAGCAGAAATTTGAGACATATTGCTCATTTGACTGCTGTTTATCACTGACTATTTTGAATTAAACAAAGAACTTAGGTTTTCCTTCTTATTTTACTTCAGTAGTTTACTAAATGTACCTGAGGTAGCTTATTGATTTAGCTTTTATTTGCTCTGTTTTCTTTACTGGACACTGGCAGGTTAAGCATTGAAATTCTCTGGTTTGTAAGAATTACTATAAGTCTATGGAGAATTGTTGGATTGACTCTCAGAGAGATCATTTAGAGAAAGCAAAGAGTTCTTGGAATTGCTGGATTGATCTTGATTTCTGATTGTTGAGATAGTGTTGTAATCAAGAATACTATTCTTCATATTTGAATTTAAAATTTATTAAATTTTAACAAATCTTGCTTTATGGGGTTTTGGGGTTTTGGGGTTTTGGGGTTTTGGGG